AGCAATTTCTCCCTCTCTCTCAGAGTGTATGATTTATTCTGTTTAAATTATTTTTAATTTCTTGCCTCCTTACTTTAAGAAAATTTGATTTTACGATACAAAATGAGTCTTTTTCTTATTTAAATAAAATTTACAAATTAATTTAAATAGAATCATGAAATTTTTTATATGACATAGAAATGACATAGTTGATTATGTAATTGATTTTACACAAAGTTTTTTACTTTTTGTAAGAAGTGAATAAAGTGTTAATTTATAAAAATTTATATAATTGTGTGCAAAATGGGCTTAAATAGACTTGGCCGAATATTACACAATGGAAAGGGGAAATGCAGAGACCTTAATTAATAGGAAGGGAACAATGTCATAATTGGTCAGAGAATCACAGATGGAATGATCTATATTAGTGGTTCCCAATTAGTTTTTCCTGCGTAACACTTCAAGAAAGAGCTCAAACTTGCATACCCCTTATAGCAGAAATTCATATTAATCTATACTAATATTATAAATTTGAAGGTAATTCTGTCTGTCTGTTACTTTTTCATGTCTAAACCACTGAACAGGTTTTAATAAAATTTGGCTTAGAGATAGCTTACATGCTGGAGATGGACATACGCTACATTTTACTGCGAGAAAATATCTTACTCTCACGAGAAAATTCGATATAATGCGGGTGAAGCTGTGGGTAGTGATAGACAGCTAGTGATAAATAAAATAAGTTTTTTTTTACGTTTATTACCTTTAAAATACTATTCTAATAATAATGAAAATAATATAAGGTTATTTAATTTTAATGTGACAAATGTGCACAATTTTCTTTGCACAACTTTGTAAAATCTGGTTGCTTTTTGGTCAGCTTCAGTCTCAAGTCATCTTCGAGTTGAAGTTGGTGACAATGTTTAGTTTTTATGTTTGTCATGGCCGAAAATCCACTCTCACAGAGGTATGTTGTGCAAAATGGTAGTAAATATTTTATTGCCACTTCACTGACATGATAATAATGATTGTACAATTTTTGTTTCTTGCATAAGAATTTCATTTAGGTATTGTCACAAATGCATTTTTTTGATGAAATTTCGAGAATATTTTTAGTTATTAATAAAGGAATTTGTGCATTTGACATCATGTTGTAAATTGCTGAATTTTTGATGGTCCACCCATTATTTTTTTGATTGCTTCATCTCATGCATTTAAATTTTAAATCGACCGATTTTAGATTGCCGTGCATACCCCTTCATACAATTTCGCATACCCCAGGGGTACTCATACCACTAATTGAGAACCATGGATCTATATGGATCCTGTATATATAAGTTATTACATAAAAAACTATATAATTAAGTTTAATTTATGTAAAACAATGGAACATTGTTTATACTTCTCATATTTATTCATTGTTTTATGTTAAACCCAAAATGTTCCTTCTTTTAAAGGTGAAATATTTTGCTAATGTTTAAAATTTTTTCAATATATTAAATTCATTACAGAGTTTTATTTATACTGTATATGAAGATAGTAGATATCCCAATATTCTTTTAGATAACACATTTAGAATTACACTTTGTTTTCTTCTTGCACCTCTTATCTTTATGTTCTTAGAATTAAATAGAATAATATTGACCATTTCTGAGAGAGGGAGAGTTAGCAGTAGATTGTCAACTAATTGGTTGAAGTAATCACAATACAGGAGGAAGTCTATCTGTTTGTAATATTCTTAAAATGTGTAAATTTCCCATATAGTTTGTTAACAGCAAAAGAATATCATAAACAAAGTTTAACAAAACAAGTTTATTTCAGGATCTGTTTTAATGTATGTACAATTCTTAATGATTTTAACATAAAACAGTTAATGATTGTTAAATTGACATTCTAAAACTTAAGAAAAATAAATTATAGAAAGCAGTATATCACTTGCTACTAGAGGCATTTGAATTTTAAATCAGCAAAATTTTTGGAATTTATTGTTGTGAAATAGAGCAGTGAAGTAAATTATTTCATGTAAATTTTGTGCTAGCATGCTTTTCCTATAGACAGACTTATCAAACTGGACAACCACAAGACAGGATGACCTTGAGACAATTTGTTTCTATCCTGTGGTGGTCCAGTTTGATAAGTCTGTCTATGAGAAAAATACTCTAGCATGAAACAGGAAATAAGTCAATGGACAAAAAGCAATCTGAATAAGACTAAAAATTTGTATTTACTTGATCCTGACCACTGTGATTTCAAAGAATATAAGCAATGAAAGTATTATTATTATATTTTTGTAATAAATATTTAAAATAAAAGATAATAAAAACAGTTGTTAAAAGTTATAATAATATGAATTTACCATAAAAATTATTAATTTTTCTATCTTACAATGCAGTTTGACTTAAATTTTGATAATATATTTCAGTTACCTTTGTTTGGTTCTGTTCCTTGAGAGATGTATAAATGATGCTATACTGTATTAACTTATAAGTAACTAACTGTATCAATGGATATTCAAAGAAAAATGTACTTGATAGAATATACACCATTCAAAATACTTATGGAAAGACAGTAGAGCATCGTTTATCTGAAAGTCAGTTATCCAAAAGAATTCCAGTCGGCAAATTTAAATTATCGCTAGTGTTGTGGCGCTGCAATCTTTGGCTATATATTGGGCTACTCCAATATTTTTTATGTTTGTGTATGTGTTTTAGCTGGCAGCACTGTCACTTTTGTGTGGTGTTTTTCTGAAGACTGTGTGTCGTGCTGAATCGAACATTTTTGATACTCGATAACTTCTAAAGTATAAAGTTTTTTGTTTTTATATTTTTCAATATATTTATTTTGTTTGTAAAAAATAAAGAAATAATTTTTAACGATACAATAGCAATGATTATTATTTTAAAAAGTTTACATTAGGCTTAACATCGATGAAAATTTAACATGAAGCGACACGCAACAGAGAAAAATTTCAACACAGGATAGGTTAATGTATTTTTTGTACATAATTGGTTATCTGAAAAATAAGTTATCCGAACAACCTCAGTCCCCAATTGATTCGGATAAATGACTCTCTACTGTATTGTAATATCTGACTATTAATACAAAACAATTAATGATCTTGTTTTTATATAAAATTAAAGATCAGATAAATAACATCTACAACAAAAAGAACAGCTTATTAAATTTAATGTAAATAAATATATGATTAAAACAGTTCATGTAAATAAATATATTTTGAAGTATTTTTTAACACAAAGTAAGATGCTATACATTTTATTGAAGCATATAGTGTCTTGCAACTTCTGAATTAATAGTATATTGAATATGGAAAAAAATAAGATTATTTGCTTTTTTATGAATGTCATCACAGGCATATCTTAAAATAGTCAAGTCTAGTTGATGATAATGCAAAATCAGATTACAATATAAATCTGATTTTCCATTACCTGTTAATTTTTTTTCTTTCTTCTTTTGAGCAATGTAATCCAAAAGAAGTTTTTATGTAAGAATTTGTAGAAAAACTCATAATTTAGTATAAACATTCAAATTTATAGGATGTAATTAGATTTTTATAGAAATATTTTTTTTATTATTTTGCTAACAAAATAATACTATAGTATAATCTTATCTTTGTAGATACAGTAGAGCATCGTTTATCCGAAAGTCGGTTATCCGAAAGAATTCCAGTTGGCACATTTAAATTTTCGCTAGTGCTGTGGCGCTGCAATCTTTGACTATATCTTGGGCTACTCTGATATTTTGTTTTGTTGATGAGTGTGTTTTAGCTGGCAGCACTGTCACTTTTGTGTGGTGTTTTTCCAAGGACTGTGTGTCATGCTGAATCGAACGTTTTTGATACTAGATTAACTTCTAAAGTATAATTTTTTTTGTTTTTATTTTTCAATATATATATTTTGTATGTAAAAAATAAAGAAGTAACTTTTAATGATACAATAGCCACGATTATTATTTTAAAAAATTTACATTAAGCTTAACATCAACGAAAATACAACGCGAAGCGACACGCAACGGAGAAAACACGAGATAGGTTAATGTATTTTTTCGTACATAATCGGTTATCCAAAAAATAAGTTATCTGAACAACCCCAGTCACCAATTGATTTGGATAAACAATGCTCTACTGTATTACAGAAATCTTCAGAACTTTTGATATATTAGGCTGTGTACACACTAGGCGTTTTGCATTGCGTTAAACGCGCATTAGCAGCGTACACACCACGCGTTAGCTCTGCGTTAGATGACCGTTTAGTGGAGCATACTCACTGACTCAGTTTGGAAATGGACATGAAAGTAATTGCTTGTGTGCCCCTCCTCCATCATCGCTATAAAAGATGATGGCAGAGGCAAAGAGAATTTTGGGTGCACCCAATATTACAAGATAGACTGACACATGGAATGTTTGCGACGCTGTATCCAAAACTAAGACAGAATAAACCCAAGTTTTTTAATTCTTTTAAAATATCTATAAAATCCTTTGACGATGGTTGGTCTCTTTTAGATTTCATCAATAAATAGATCAGTATCGAAATGACCGTTCTCCATTTCGGCCAACGTACGTCCACTCTACCCGAAAATGCACGATCGAATGTACAGTAACATGGCAGCACATATATCTCAAAGCGCTAGGCTGACGCCCGCAAAATGCGCGATCGAATGTACAGTAACATGGCAGCACATATATCTCAAAGCGCTCGGCTGATGCTCACAAAACGCGCATTTTAAGAAAAATCTATAAACGCGCGTTTGGCCAAAAGCACGCATTTGAGTGTGTATGCCTATGCAGAACTCTTGGTTCTTTAAAACGCACGTTTAAAAACATCTAGTGTGTACGCAGCCATAATCATCAAAGAAATATGTTTGTTTGGAGATTAATATGATATATCTGAAATTAATCTGAATAAAAAGTTGAAAGCTTTTAAAACATTTGAATCAATGTTTTAAAATATTCATAAAGCTTATTTAAGTATGAAATTACAATTAAATTTTTCTTTCTTTTAATTTAGGAAGAACTTTCAGCATGGACATTAAGACCATTACCCAAAAGACTTGAAAAAGTAGCTGTTAAACATGTTATATATTTGAAAGATTTAAGATTGGCTATACTTGAACATCTATTGTCTGACTTGAATGAAGGCATTGATATATATTTAAGTGTACTAAGAGAATGTTCTGAAGAAGAATTACAATTAAATCCAGTAAATTTTACTTTTAAAATTTATTTATTTATTTTAATCATTTATATTACAAATTTTAATTATATTCTGTGTGTAGCGTCCTTGTAATCCAAAAAATTATTTTTGGTAGACGACCAAACAGCAATTGGTTATGAAAACATTATGGTTTATTTAAAACAAGTTTTTATTCAAATGCATTTTGGGTTGGTTTATGTACCAACCCCTCTTCAGTGCTGTTAAAAATACAAATCAAAGTAAGGTTCACGACATTGGTAAATATGACGTAAAAAAAGCGGGGGAAACAATAACATAAACATTGCTATATATAGTTGGTTTGCTGTATGTTATATTAACAATGTAAATTCGTCTCTGTAATCCAAAACACACGCTTTGGTAGACGTATCTCACAGCAATTTCTGGTTAGCAAATTTAACTTTTATTTTTCATTGAACTACAAATATATTTCGGGTTGGTATAATATACTCCAACCCTTCTTCAGTGATTTTTTCATTAAGTACACAACAAAAATTGTTTCTTATTTTGCTTTTTCACAAATTAGGAGGTAGGAGGGTAGACCGTTTACAAACATCAGCTGTGAGATACGTCTACCAAAGCGTGTGTTTTGGATTACAGAGACGAATTTACATTGTTAATAAACATTTCTGTTTAACACATCTTTTATATAAAAAAATAAATACAGATTATTTGTTTCAGAGTGTCTATGAACACTTACATTTTCAGTTAATATGTATTATTCCTGACAAAAGGTAAAACAGAGTAAAACTGATAACTGGTGTTATCTGGTATTCACAGAGTAACAGTATACCGACAAGTAATGTTGTCCAATTCATTCCTATTTCCATTATCTCTATTCATTCCCATATCCATTACTAAAGTTAGTTAATTGATATAATATTTAGTAGTATAGTATATATTTAGTATATAATATTTAGTAGTATAATATATACTACTTTGATATGATATTTAGTAGTATAATATATATACTACTAAATACTATATCAATTAACTAACTTTAAAAATACATTTATATCAGTTTTTAAACTATGTTCATTGTTTAAAACTATTACTTATTAATTTTCATTTCTTACAGAAATGTATTACATTATAGATTTATGGCATTGACAATTTGAGAATTTTTACAATGAACAATTATGAACATATAATTGATATAATATTTAGTAGTATATATATTATATCAATTATATGTAATTATATACATACATATAATATAATTTGTTTCTTCCAGTCACTTCCTCATTTGTTACCTCCAGCATTTCAAGGTCTGCAGAATAAAGAAAATAAAAGAATGTTGCAGCATTTTAAACAACCTAATGATGCTAGAGTTTTTGAAATTACAACAAAGATTGAAGATTTTAAAATTAGAAGTAATGATACTTGTCTTAAAAATCCAAAAGAAAGTGAGAGATTAAGTAAGGAGGTAACAATACAAGAAAATTCAAAAAAATATAGTGTTTCCCAAAAACAAACAGGTACTTAAAGCATATTTTTAATTGTTTGTTCTTTAATTTCATATATTATAGGATAATAATTTATCACTTTAATGATGTAGCATGCTAATGATTTTTATAAATAACAAATGATCTAAAACAAACTATTTGTATGGTGAAAAGTACATTAAAAATGTTATAAACACAAAATGAATTTGTGAAATGAATAACATTTAAATTTAAAATTCCATAAAATCAAAAATATACTTGAGAAATTAATTTGAGAAATTTTAACAACATACCAATTACCAAAAGTTTTTAAATTAGGATAAAATCTTAATATATTATCTAGAAAAAACAAATATATTATTGCAAAAATTAATAAACAGCAATTTAAATCTAATATACAGGGTGGACCAAAAAGAATATACATATTTCAAACTGATATATTTATTAAACTATCGATAGTAGCGGTGTGCTGCAGGTATCAGAGGAACGAGTGCATTGTCTAGTTTGTCCCCAGATGTCAGTTGTGCTTGGTTACAATGACGTATTCACAGTTGTTGTAGAATGGCTACGCCACAGCACAAAAGCTTTTGTATTCTTGAGCTTGCGAAGTGTAATTCCGTGATTACAGTGCAAAGACGTTTCCGGTTGAGGTTCGAAATTGATCCTCAGAATGGATGGAACATTTGCAGATGGTACCGTCAGTTTGTTGACACAGGTTGTGTATGTAAAGGAAAGAGTCCTGGCCGACCTCATGTATCTGAAGAAAATGTCGCACGGATTCAAGCTGCTTACCAACGTAGCCCTTCAAAATCAACACGTCGTGCCAGTCGGGAATTGCAGCTGCCTAAAACAACAGTTTGGCGTGTTTTGAGACGTAGGTTAGTTATGAAGCCCGGACGGAACTCCCGCCCGGATCGTTCGTGTCGCTGGTGGAGGACATATTGAACACCTGTAATCTAAACTAGAGAGTTTCATAAATATGTGTCCCAAGTTCCATAGTTGTATGTCTTACAGTTTATTAAATATATCAGTTTGAAATACGTATATTCTTTTTGGTCCATCCTGTATATTTCAATAGGATTGAGCAACTGTGTTATTTTTTTAAACTCATAGCAATATGCCAAAGAAGTTTATGCATTTTCTTCACATCAATGTTTTTAATTATGCTAGGCCTTACTGACGTAAATAGAATATATTAAAGAATGTGTTTTTATATACTCTCCAAAAATATGATAAGAAAGTTTATCACTAGCTGCATTATTATTTCCAGAAACCAAAAATAACTATAAACAGTGGCTTGTAGAAACAATGTATCTAATAATAGAATTAGAAATAATATTCACAATTTCATATATTCCAAAAAACTTGAATAATCCAAGAATTTCTTGTATTGAAATTCTTGGATTATCATAAATTAGAGGAACATTACATTGTATATCATTTTTTCAATANGAAATAAACATACGAATATCCACTTACATTTATTTATAACAACAATAAATTTAATTTCATTTTATAAAAATCATTTAGCTCTTTTCTTTTCAAAAGATAATTATACAATATAGATAAAATTTTCTTTACAATTTAATTTGTTATTACAATTAGACATGCAGCATGATTTTGCAATTAAGAGGTTGACAACGAACAGAATATTGTTCATGTTAGAAGAGAATTAAACTGTAATCGGAATATTGATCAAGCAATCAAACAAATATATCATTTTATTCCTAGAAATGCTATTTAAATACTAGTAGTTGCCATTTACGTTGTTAATTGGTTTTCGTGAGTTTAATTTTATTCAAAAAATATTCAATTCATATTTGTTTCAGTAAACTATACGATAAATATTCTAATAAATTACAATAAGTGCATTTTAGAAACTATGAAAAAACGAAATTATTGTAAATTTTATATTTATGCAGTGTTATTTTTCAATTATACAGTACTTCAAAATACATACGTATATACACATACAATATTTTAAATGATATTTTAAAAAAGAAAATCGTTTCCAAATACTTCGAATTGTTAGAAATATAATTTCGAAACAGTATAATTCCAAGAATATAATCTGGAGTCGATCGGAATGTTTATCCAGTTTATAAGAAAATAAAAATAATTTAAATTACTTTTTTATCTTGCAAGCATTTCAGTTTTATTGAGAAATATTATAGAGGTTGCGGCCAAAGTTCAAACGTTAAACTTGTACAGCAAGCAGAAGTACACGTTTGACGTTTGAACTCCAAAGTAAAACACGTTGTGCCATGCGTTCACATCATGCACTGACTTATGGGATATTGTTGAAAAATGGCAAAAAAAACGTTTAACAATGACAAATGTTACCAGTGAAGGTAAATAAACAAATTAAACTATTTTAAAGTATTTATAGGATGTTTAATAACACTAAATAATTATTTTTAATTAGCATTGTGTCTCCTACCACACAATAGGACTACCTCATAAATGCTTAAATAATCATTATTTTAATAAAATACAACATAATTTTAACCCCAAACACAAAAAAATGAAGTTTAAGCTGAACTTCTACTCACCATGCTAGATGTAGCAAACGCCATTGTCAACCTTCTAGAATTGCCAGATGGCGGTGCTCAATGCTCAACGTTTATGTTTTGGGCTTGAAAACATTGGCCACAATCTCTCTATTAATAGAATTGATATATTAAATTACAGGTAATTGGTCTGTAGATACTAAAAGTTTAGATTGATTGATTAATTAATACTAGGTACCTGTTCATTAATGCTGTATAGTTGATTCATTTGTTATTTATTACATATTAGCTTATTTAACATAATTAATAAATTTTGTTATTCAAATACTATGTAATGTGTAATTAATAAATATATTTTTTGTTTTTTTACCAGATAAAGATTCATCTGTAAGAGAAATCAATTCTAACAGCAAAGAAAGTGCATCTAATAATAATGAAATATTACTTAAAATGGTTCCAACACAGTGTATAAGAAATATGAATTTTACTCATCCTAAAAAGCGTATTGATTGGCCTATCAAGAATAATTCTGATTCTAGTCCTGAATATATTCCTGCTGGTATGATGGGTTCTTCAACAAGTAAGAAGAAAGCTGCAAATAAAACATGAAGCTATTTTGAACATTTTTAAGAATTGACTTTTTTATCTATGTTTATATAAACATAATGAAACTTCACTGTTAATATATTAGAGAGGTTGAGGCAGACGTTTTAAACGTGTAAACGTGTAGGTTGGACGTTCGGCACCGCTTTCCCGTAAGCCTAAAAGTTTGACAATGGTGTTTAGATAGTCGGTGGAATCATGCTCGACATTCCAAACACCATCGTCAAACTTTTAGGCTTACGGGAAAGCGGCACCGAACGTCCAACCTACACGTTTACACATTTAAAACGTCTGCCTCAACCTCTCTATTGTTAATACGTGTATTGTTTTGACAATATAAAAGTTTCTATATTTCACGTAGAGAACTACATTGGAATTTTTTAAATATAGCATCATTTTTTATAATAATAAAAATTTACTGACATTTTATTATAATAATAAATTATATTTAATATAAGATTAATTTATTATTATTATTAGGATTATGTTATTTTTAATTTTTTTTTAAAGTAAAACTATGAAATATAGACAAGAAATATTTAAACTTCACACATTTCTTACATATTACTTTCCTGGCTGTTATAAAACAGGGAGAAAGTATTGTAATCAGTCAAATTTTGGTGCTAGGTTTATGCATTTCTCAAGGTTTCATTTCAGGTTTATGCATGTTTTAAGGTCCTGATTCCAAACATCAATAAGATGGAACAAAATTCCATGTGTATGCGAATGCCCTCCTGTATTTGCTTTATATCTTAGGACCAAAAATATTTCATAATTTGGCAGGAATACTTCTGTATATCAGACATTGATGCTATTACGTTTTAGAGATTATGACCCCTTACATTCCCTTGACTTATCTCGAGTGGGGTCAGACCTAATGAAAATTTCACTCATTAGCATTTACAATTTTTTTTGAACTAACCCCAAAAATAAGGCTTTTGCCTTTTTTCTAACTTTTAGAAATTATAATTGAAAATTATTGGACTTCCTGCTTCCCTTAACCAATATGGTGGAGTCAATAAACAAATAATCTGACTCCAGCAAATTTGAAATGTGCGACCCTGACTCTGACCTTTTCCTTTTTTAAATGTCACACTATGATTCCTTTTAAAAGAAAATTTTAACACTGAGTATCAGAATATTTTTATCTAAGATTTCTCTATAAAAAGTTGTACTAAAATTTATGATGAGAATCAAAAAATGGTTGTAACGAATTTACCTTGAAATGCTTTAGAGTATGTAAAGAAACACTACTTCATAACAGCCAAAAGAAATCCATCTATTAGTTAGTTATCAAAAATTGATTTAAATTTATTCATTTAAAAAGAAATGCAAAAAAGTGCAAAAAGTAATTTCTCCCATTCTGGTTACTATGAAAATAGTTATTTTCTTAAGGACTAAACTCAAGTATAGTGAAAACTGCTTAGGCGACCACCTGCATTCGACGGGCACCTGTCAAAACGAAAAAAAATTTCTGGCACAGAATAGTTTATCCATAGAGTCTTTGTATAAATTACCTGTATTAAACGACCACCTGTGAAACGCATCTATTTTTGGTCCGAAACAACATACAACAACTGTAATAAGCAACCACTTCCGCGAATATATCTGGTCTAAACTATTGTTCAACAATGTTTCCCCTTACTAATAAATATAATGAATTTGTCTAAACTGTCGTTCGAACCCACCTCGGGCACTTTTCCCACCCTTGAAATTACATGCAGGTGTTAATGAATTAGTCGCAACAAAGGAAATTCATTTCAGTTTGTTGGAAAATGTTGAAAGACGAAAGAAATGCAAAACGCTGTCGTTAGAAGATCGTGTTAAAATTATCAGAGAAAGTGAAATGGTTTATCACAACGGCAATTAGCGACAAAGTTTAACTGTGGGAAAACGAAATTTATTTAACCATAGACCTACAGTGTTTTCCTTAGGTGTATAAAATATTGTACACGATGCAATTAATCGGCTGATCTCATCGTTTGATAAAATTTATTTTTATTTATTTATTTTGAAGCTCATATAGAGTACTGTACATGTGCGATAAATAGTTTCTGTATCAACCTACCTTATTTCCAGGATATTTTTAGAAAAATAATATCCAAGTAATTTTCGCACGCAAAATATTCAAAAAACAATAAACGCATTAATGAAAAAATCAGTTTTACAGGCAACCTTCCATTTTTTCGTAATGAATCGTATAATGAGAAAAAATAATAAAATCGTTTTATTATTAATTAATAATTTTTCTTATTGTACTTAAGAAAATATTAAATATTAAAAAATACAGTATTTTTAAAGTTAAAATAAGATTAAACTAACGAATACCAAAACCAAAGTGATGTAGAGATACGACGCGCTTGTATATCGATGACGTGACACACGTAACCGAAGAGCGAACGAAAACAACCAAGTTGAATTAAGTCGGAGAAAAGAAAGTGTGCATTATAATCGAGAAAATGCGACTATTGTATTAATCTTTAAAATATTGGTATTAAATCTGTCTTATAATATCACGACGACTCTTGTAAATCAAGTTATCCGATAAGAATAAAATACAATACCAATACAGCCCTACCGTTGAAAAAATTCGCTTATTTTTGCTCACCTCGAGTTTTGCTTAGTAGAAATGGCTAAAAAAAAAGAGCGCAAAATACGTACAGAAATACGATATTACAGCACCACCTATATTGGACGACCACCTGTCTAAAAGACCACTTTTTGAAGGAACCGTGGGTGGTCGCCATAGACAGGTTTTACTGTATATACTGCAGTAGAATTTTAAAATAAATATCATCCTGAACTAATGCGTACAACTCTATTTGAGGAACTTAATGAATAACACACTTAAGAAACCACGCTTATTGTAATGAAACACAACATACTATATAATCAATTCTTTATTTATTAAACCAGTATTTTAATTAATAAACTCAGAAGAATAAAAAATAATTAACTTTTTCTGAAAAAACTTTTTAAAAAAACAGAAAAAAGTAAGATTTAAGCCGGATGCACACATGCGGCGCGGCAAGGAAAAGCGGTGTCGCAAACGCATCTTCGCCGCGCGGCAGCACAGCCACACAAGCGGCAATCCGCTTACATTTCGGCTCATGCGTTCAGTATTCAAGATGGCGAACGATACCGATATTGTCGCTATCCACGTGTTTACAAATTTTGTTTTGTACGGCTTGCTTTATTTAGTTAGAAGATTCGAACGAAGATTTTGCATTAGAGATATTTTCTTGGATCGATAAAGAACTGGTGTACAAAATACGCTTATTCCTCGATAAAGAATACTATTTCGAGTAAGATTCGGTTGTTTTGTTCTTTGAATTAAATTATATATGATTATTTGTGTAGAATTTGTGTTAAATTTATTATCCTTTCCTCTTTATTCTGATGTTAGTTATCTCGGTTAACCGCATCGAACTTTCCGCCATTAAAATACCACGTGATTGTATTTTCTCACGTGACTACCGGACGAACTGTTATTGGCTGATAGAAACGCGTCTTGGCGGCGGCTGCCGCAAAAGATAAAATTCGACCAACTTTTGCGGCACGAGAAAAGCGGCACAAAATCTACTTCTGCGGAGAGAAAAAGTGACGTCATCCTGCCGCTTTTCCTTGCCGCGCCGCGTGTGTGCATCCGACTTTAGGAAGCATTAAATTTTGGTGATTAAAGGTCGAGGGGGTGGGAAGATAAAAGGGGTTGCATGTATTTTTAGTAGAGTCAGACTTAATGACTCGTTATTAGCATTAAAATTTTTTATAAAACCCATCTTTACCCTCAAAACTACGGTGGACACAAATACACTGGTTACTTGGTACTACATTACCATGGCATGCACCCAATTTGCTTCTATCTGCAACCAGCACGACTTGAAAAGTATGCCATACCGCGATTTGAATGATGCAACACGATATTGCATTTACAGCTTGGCATACCACAACTTCAACACATTTTACGGAATAACGAGGCACTGTTTTCTCAGAATGGGGTGTATAACTGGGCATAGCTGTTGCAATATGCATGGTACACCACTGGGCATAGCGTGTTCTATGATGAGTGTGATATAGGCAACATCAAGTGCATGCCTAAAGGTCTGATGTGGAATTTGGGACAAGCGGCTTCTTAGTCTCATATTCATTGATGGCATCCTGAATAGTGACCGACGTCTGAACATCCTAAACACGATGGTGGATGAATGGCTTGATGGCTTGCCATATTGGCAGAACTCAGCACAATGGGCACCATTTTATTCCCGGACAGACGTGCAACAGTGGTTCACAGAGCAGTTTGATAACCGTTGGATAGGACAACATTGCCCTGTTTTCCAGACTTAACCTCTCTGGATTTTTCCTGTGGGATCGATCATCTAAAAGCATCAGTATATAGTGCATACCCAGCAGCGCCGCATGATATTGGCGAAATGAAAAGATGCATATGAGAAACCTGCAAAACGGTGACACCAGGAATGCTATGTTAGTTGGGGTAAGTAAGGCAACTGGTCAAAAAATGACCCACCCGGAGATTTTTTAATTTATGGATTCGGGAGTCCTTGAAATGTCAAGAAAAAAAAAAAAAAAAAAAAAAAAAAAAAATTTCCCCCCTGTACGAGTACGTATATATGGATGTTTGTGTGGGTGGGTTTTTTGCTCACTTTTTTTTGTTCGCTCACTTAAAAGCTTAACTCGTTATTAGCATTTACAGTTTTTTATATTATAAAACTCATCTCTAACTTCAAAATTGAGCTTTTGCAAATATTGTCTATATATATAAATGAGGACGTTTGTCTGTGCATTTGTTTGTTTTTGTTCACTATGCACGCCTATGCCGTTCGACCAATTGCTACGAAACTCGGCAGTTACGTTCAAATACTTCCAACTTAAATAATGTCGCACAACCCACTCTAAATATCGATCGGATTTCTATATATCGATTAATTTATGTCTATAATTGATTGCTGTCTGTACACGTAGCGCCATCTATTGCCAAAAAATTAACAATATAGATAGTCGATCGATAGTCGTGGATTTGAGCATAGTCATATGAAGTTTTCCGGGTTTTCTTCACTTTAGTAACACCTAAATAGGGTACAGCTTCCAGTGGCGTGCCTTGACATTTAATGATAGGG